CACACACACACACACACACACACACACACACACACACACACACACCATGCCTCCGCTTTTCACTGGAAGCATTACATCACCCTCTAATCTAAAAATAGAGCCAGAGATTAGGCCACTGGGCTACACGTTTGACATCACTGCTTATACGCATAGTGAATGCTGTTACTACCAAACAGACAATGCATAAGAATGGATTTCCAAGCCTGGATAAATAAGTATGTTCATTAATATTATAGGGGCTGTTTTGCTTTGTTGTCATTTTTTGCAAGTTTGTTCACTGTTGGGGAGAAACAAATCTGGGATGCCATATTATTCATTTTTTGTTTATTTTGCCTGCATCTGATTACATTTTCATCCCAGCCTTTAAGCCACAGACAGAGAGAATAATAATAATATGTTGTTCAAACATGTCATTTTCTCTTTCAATATAACAGAGAACAGAAAAGCAAGGACAGCCAGACGAGTGTGGTGTAGCGCTCTCTTACTGCAGACACGGTCACAGAAGCTTTGAGGTAAACAAGTTAAGTCAACTGCTTAGCCGCCATAGCGGCACTAAATAACTGGGCTGACCGTAACACTTGTGTCTGTGTCAGCGTGTGCCCTGAAATAGTGTCGTGTCCTCCGTCGGTCCCCAGCTCACTGGTGACTGAGAGACAGAGAGGACACCCTGGAGATGGAAGTAATATCCCAACCTGTCTCCTCCTCTCCTCCATCAGGAGAGAGTGCAGGATGCAATGAGAGCAGTGGAGGTCTTCACAATAACGGATGTACCAGCTGAACATTTAGTCGATCAAACTTGTCGCAGACCACACCTTATTCACCGGGTCTAAAGCCCAGTAATAATAGCTGGATCGGAGTGTTTTATGTCTTTTATTTCTTCTTGTTTACCTTAAGACAACTGCCGCTTTGTCTTTATTCCTAACAGGTAATCATCACCTTCACATCCCTTTCGTACTCATTATGGCAACTCACTGGGGATGGCATGGGCTGCCTTATGGTTTGACTATAATCCTAATTACAGAGAAATGCAGCAGCAGGTGTGGTCTCTATTCATGGCCTGCCTGCAGACAGACTGAGGCTAACAAGGAGTTCACAGCCGACATCATGCAAGTGAAAACACGGAGAAATGCTGGGCTCATGTTTAAGAAGAGAGAGAGAGATAGATAGATAGATAGATACACACTTTTGTTCTAGGTGTCCAGTTATTGAGTGGTAACAACTAACCAAGCCCCTTTTTCCACACGTTTAATTGTATTATTATTATTATTATTATTATTATAATAAAATGTAATTTTTAGTTTTACTTTTTTATGTCTGGGTAGGTTGAAAGTTTACATTTCAAAAAACCTGACATCTATAAATGAAATAAAAAAAATTATTGAAAATAATCATTACTTGCAGCCGTAAACGTTTTGTACTCAAACAGCTTAACATCTAACAAAAACATGATGAATCCAAATTTCTGTCTGACATCAGTGTCCTCATGCTATATGTCCTTTCCATTTGCAAGTATGTCTATTCTGATATATTTAAACTCCAAAAAGCAAACGTTATGTTATGAATATGAGAGTAACGCAATTATTATATACAGTCTGAACCACATACAGTAATCCTATAGTCACACATTGATTCGGTACTTTAGTGACACAGTGACGCCTCCAACTACAATTTCCTCATCAAAGGAGTTTGAGAGC